TAAATATTATCAAATACAATGGAATAAACCACATTTAATTAACAAACAAAGGTCTAACAAATAGCTCATTAGTATAATAATGCATATCATGAAAAATGAAGATAAATGATTCACTCAAAGCTCTAGTCATCATCTTTTATTATTAACTACTATTTAATTCTTTTTCTTTTTCTGTCTCACATTGCTTAAAAGTGTTTTAAAAAGATAGAGATGCATCAAAAAGAAGTAATTTGTTCTTAAAAAATTTTACGATATTTGTTCTTGAAATTTTACGATTTAATTTACGATATTTGTTCAATGGATGCCCTCCTTTCAGTATATTTTCTTTTTACAGTTTCAAATAGAACAACTTTCCTTTCAACTGGCCACATAAAATAAAATTTTCAAAAATAATTCCAACAAACTTAACCTTATTTGCAGAATCACTCTAAATAAATAAAATTTGAAGCTCTAAAAGAGGTAAACCATTAATAGAAACAACCAATAAAGCGAGAAAAGAAAACATGAAAGCAATAAATTAGCAAACATTAATAATAATTTAAGTTCAGTAATAAAATTATAATACATAACAAATTATACAATCGATTCCATGCAGAAACGTTTCGACGTGATATTTCAGAATCATAAAAGTCTTATAGGGTAACATCACATTTTAACAAAACAGAGGTCAGAGCAGATATTATTAAAAATGTCTTGAGCCGTAATTCGAGACTCGGGTCGAGCGAAGCACGATTTATTACAATTGTTTTTCTCAGATTTTTCCAAATTTGAGACTATTTCTTTTCCATTGAGACTATATAATTCATTTAAAAAGGTTTGTTCAAGTTTTGAAATGAATTTATTGAACTCGCATACTACGCATTGTATTTTCTGTTAGTTGAGACACTACAGTAGAAATAGTTTACTAATTTCATGAAATATTGATATTCCGTCAGTTAATGTAGAAATTTCATTAGTTAATATGGAAACAAATAAAAAAATTTGCCAGAACAAAAATAAAAAAACTTCTACTCTAAAGATTCACAAAATTGCAGATGTTGAATTGCAATACATAAAAATAAAAAATAAAAACATGAATAGTTTTACACACAACTTTGTGAAATTTATACAAAAAATAAGTAGAAAAAAAGCTCCATTATCAGAATTAGTCGTGACAAATGAAATTCAATTGTGTCTGCATATCTCCTAAATGGAGCAATACCAGGTAATGCGCATACAAAATGTGATACATTTTTCCACCAATATGCATATTTATAATCTTGCATAAAAATAATAGATATTATATTTTTTTAAAAACTCAAATATAGGTAATTAAAAGAAAACACTGAGCTCAAAAAATTTTTTAGACTTAGATCTATTGGATCAAACAACTAACACAGGGTGCTCTGTAATGACCACCCTAAATAGATATTTTTAGAAGCATTGTCAAAAATCAAGTCAAAAATATATGCATTCAGAGCTTAAAATTATAATTTAAATGACAAATAAATAAAAATTATATCAAAATCTAAAAATCACTCATGAGGAAGGAAGGATTGAAAACATCAAAACCTGTTTGTATCTTCATCTGTAGAAACAAATATTAAAAGGTGATTGTTAAAAACACTAGATTTATTATTAAAGTATCACCTGGAAATCAAAGTAGTTTTGGTTTTTCTTCCTGTCCTCTTCACTAGCGATTCAATAAGTCCCAGCAGTATCACCATTTCTCTCGATTAAATAATAATTTACAACCCGAGACGCAGATAATACTTTGAGTTCACTTTCGACAAGTTTTCAAAAAATACATATTTAGGGTTGAGATTAGGGAATGCCTTGCTGTGATTCATATTTTAGTCTCTTTATAATGAAAATGTTAAAAATTAATAATGACTTTTCAATTCAAACTTTTTTTTTCCTTCAAAATTTAACAATGACAAATATAGACCCATTTATGCATAGGTGCATGGCACTATATGAAGTTTTATATATATTTGGAGGACAACCTCATGTCTTTTTACATATGTATTTCAAGGCACCGGAATGTTGAAAAGCACCACTAAACACAACCTTTTAGGAAAAAAAGAGAATACTTTTGATCATGCAGCTGGATTCTTTTTCATCAACTCTATATCTGAATCCAACATTTCATGAACCAGTTGCTGAAAATAAAATACAAGATAAAAAATATAACTGATTTTATTTAAAAAAAACAGAGCAAGTAAAATGTGATTCATATCAGTGGTTTATATTTAAATTATTGATGCACTGTCGACCTATTGAACACTTATTTCGTATTTCCATTCATTTATTGATTCTGGGATTTCCAGTAGCAAGAAAAGGTACTTTATATAATTGTGGTTTCTCAGTGTAGTCACACCGGAATATTTAGAGCATCCAGACAAGTAAAATAAACATTACAAAAAATTTTTAAAAAAACAATCAGAAATAATCATTTTATCACAGTGTCCATGCTCATTATTCTATTTCTGGAAGAGTCTCTACAAGGTATCTAGCAATAATTGCCAGACTACCAATTTCAAGGAAAAAGTAAGTATTGCTAGTCAGAAAGTTCGACAAACCACTGGATGAGGGAGAAAGATTAAATTGATTCAGAAGGGGATAAAAGGTGTCTTTTCTTTCGTTTCAAAACTTGGTATTCCTTTATTTTTCAGGTTTATTTCGAACATTCAAAAATTAAGTGAAGATTAATTTACAGATTAATTGTAAGTGAATTTACTATGTTTTCTTTCACGCTCATTATACTTATGTTTTTGATTGGATATTAAATATATGCTTGCATATATAAGACAGATCCAGATTAGATTTATATATATGAATGTATGGAGCGACTATATCTGTGCTATGTTGTAGAGAGTAGAATACATTTATGTGGATTATGTTTTCTTTTTAAAAAGTTATGTGATGTTTAACTTATATTTTTTTTTTCCTGCTTAATAAAAGTTCTTAATGAGTTTTTCATAATGCTTGCTCAGCATTTTCCACTACGTACAACTATTCCAGCAACAATCTTACTTTATTTTCATATTTAAAATCTTAGTAAAAATGAATAAAAAGTATTATTCAAACTAACATTTTACCTTACTTTGAAATCAATTCACTGTGAAGACAAAATAAAGAGTAATCCATATAATTTACGTATAATTTTACATTTTTATCCAACGTCACCATCTAACAGAAAAAAGGACTTCACATAAATTAAACGTGATGTAAAATTGGCAATCGAAATGGGCTGCAGGTGGCGTAGAGCATAAATCTCTACTTATGGCAACATTTTACTAGCTTTCTCCATTAGCATGTGGAGACTCATAGGGGAAGAAAGTACTCTAGATTCTGTCTTGATTTTCAAATAGATTAAAAACTTTTAAGTTAGGAAACTATATGGAACTTGAAAACTACATTAAACATAGTTCTGAAACAAAGTGTTGTGGAAATTTAAAAAAAATATTTTTGACAATTAAATAATAAGAAAGGGGAAAATATTGTGGACCATTCCTATACAACTGAGAAGAGGAGGGGAAAGGGGGAGGGTCAAGAAAAGCAACCAGTCTTCTCCCCAGATAGAGTATTTGAGTGTCGCGATCTTGAATACTAAACAATAGCTAAAAAGAGGCTTAATCAGATATTGAACTCATCCAAAATAAATTTTAAAACAATTGAGAAGCAAAAAAAAAAATTTATAATTTGGTGGAGAGAAAATCCTAATTTTTCTATTTACATTTTTGAAAATATTGGCATTGACTAGCAAATAACCTATACTATATTTCATTCATCTCTATAGAACATAAAGTTATTAGTTTCATGTGTCAAAAAAAGAGGAGTTCCATTTTTATCCACCAAACCAGTCCTCTCCCCTACTAATATATCTAACAAACTCTCCCTTACTAATATCTCTTATAAACTCTCCCTAACTAATATCTCTAATAATCTCTCCCTAACTAATATCTCTAATAAACTCTCCCCGACTAATATCTCTAACAAACTCTCCCCTACTAAATCTGCTTACAGCGACAATTGGTATTTTTACTTGAATAAAAGAAATTAAATTACCTCAAAACTTATCCTAGGCTTCCATCCAATTTTCTGCTTTGCTTTTGAGGCATCTCCTAACAAGTAATCCTAACGGGAAAAAATATATATATCAATGTTAAATTTCTTTAAAAAAGTTTTATATATTTTTTTTAAAAATATTTAATCGAAATTTAGTTCTATCGCAAAAAATTATTCTCGTGATTTTATAACATTAAAGTCATTATTGTTATAAAATCACGAGAATAATTTTGAGAATGATATTCAGCTGAAAATTTTACAAATCATATAATTAATACACAAAAATTGATACACACACTAATATATGAGAGAATACCAGAAAAAAAATTCATGACAATGTAAAAAATAGCTAGAAAAAAAAAAGAGTCACGCATATTTAGATTCAAAAAGAATAGATAATTGCAAGAAACTGTACACAAAAATGTAAAAGTGAGAAAGATATTTTGATATAAAAGAAAATTCAGAAAAAATATTTGTATAAAATTAATTCAAGGCATTGAGCATCAAAACCTAAGAAATAACCAAATCTCATTACTCTAAATTTCAGCAAAATTAAGCATTGTTTTATTTTTGTGAAAATTTCTGAAAATATAGAAAAATTACATTAAAAAACTCGAAGGTTATCATTAAATTTATTATAAACTTATGAATTAATTTAATTATATCATAATTTATTTTGTCTTTTTCATTTTTGTTTTCTATTATTTCATTAAAATGATAGAATGCATTATATCCTTTTTTGTTTATTTTGTGACTTAATGTTACGTTTTAAATCATACTTTTTAGACATAAAAAGATAAGGATAAATTAAAAATCTGAAATCTTGAAAATATATTTTTCAAAAGCTGTGTTTGATGACTTTCACATTTAAAATTTATAAATTTAAATTAATTTCAGACAGTAAAAGTCCCTTGTAACCAAAAATCATAACAATACAAGAAATTGTTGCCATAGAGAGCTTGTTCTCATAGGCAAATACACTATTTAATGCTAAAATAGCAATAAATAAACTAAGGAATGAAACAGTAATGTATACCTCTTATTTCGTTTATTTTGAGCAACTGTTTTAATTTAAAATACACATCTAGAGTCTACTACTTTTGCTAACAGACTATAGACTGAATTACAGAGCTTTGTATTTTATTAAAAAAAAGAAATGCCCATTAGAGGCATGTTAGAACATTAGATTTCCAAAATGGTAACAAGCTTTTGACAGAGAAAAAATTAGATAAAGTGCAATATCTTTTCCGTCATTAATAACAGCAAATGTTAGCTTTAATACGAAAGTTGCTTTTTAAGTAAGAGCCATTTGAAAATAAAACCAAACGAAAGAAAATTTTTAAGAAGCAAATTTATTTTCAGATTGTACATACATTTCTCTTTTTTTCAGCATTAGTTGTTACGTATTTTTTAAATACTTATAATGCCTTACAACTAGATTTAGAATACCCTCTTCATACAAATTTGCTGCCTACTCCATTAAAAAAAAAGATCTCACGTATTTGTTATCGTTGTGGGGATTGCTGCCAAAATGTTGTTTGAAATATTGGAAAAGATTAAATCACTTAGCGCAAGGTCTGTTCTGTAGGGAGGGGAGGTCCAAAACTTCCCTATCAAAAGAGGCCAATAAAGATGGGATCTGAGCTCCAGAGAAAGTCATTGTCATAGAGTAGTATTTCATAGAGTCATTGTCATAGAGTAGTATTTCATAGAGTCATTGTCATAGAGTAGCAGGGAATTTTGCTACTGCACAAATCTGCCAGTGCAGTATATGCAGCAGACAGGTTTTTTTGACGACTAAAAACACATTACTGACTATATCCAGTGGGTGGAGGGCAATTTGTTAAATTTAAACATTTCAATGACACAGAAGTGACCACATAGTTTACCTACACAGCTGTACCTACACAGTTGGTCCCAAAGAATGTCGGGCTACGGCCTTTGTGTACAACAAAACATCCCTTACTTAAACAACCCTCGTAGTAAGTTGTAAAGAAGGCAAATAAGGGAGTAGTTTGTTAACAAAGGACACATTCTTTTGAAGTGTGTGGTAAGCTTTCTAAAAATAGCAAAAGACCTTTTCTTTTGTTAAGAAGATAACTTAGCTGGTAGACGCCCACGCAATGCCATATAAAAATTATAAGAAGGAAATGATACTTTTTGCTTTTCAGTATTGATGCCATAAATAAAAATGCCTTCCATTTAAACTTTCTTCACATAATATTGCTCATATAAACAGCAGTAAAATATTTTCCTAAAAAAAATTTTTTTCATGGGAAAATTTGCTATAATAGCAAACTTCTTGTAAAATCAAGCTTTTACTTTATTTTGCTATCAGAATATTGCATTAAAATGTATATAAGAAGATGCATAGCCCATTTACAAAAACATTAGGCACAAATATGAGAATAAATTAACTGAGAAAAATTTTTTATTAAGAATTCAATGCAGACTCTTCGAAGGGATCCTATCATTATTTTCTTACCACTTCAGTAGGTCTAAAGTATCTAGCATTCACTCGAACACGCACGACGCCACTTTCTTTTTCTTTTCCCACTTCTTCAAGGCCTTCACCTTCCCATCTTTAAAGAAAAAAAGAAAAAGAAATTACTTTATTTTGTTTGAGATACTAATCACATTATTAAGATGTGGATAAAATAGACTCACACAATTTCTTTTCCTACATGCTTAAAGGCTACCTCCACAAATTCCTTCACACTATGCGCTTCACCAGTGGCTATTACAAAGTCTTCAGGTTGGTCTTGTTGTAACATCATCCACATACCCTGAAATATTAAATACAGTCAGGTCCCAAAATCCACAATAACACAAATTGTTCGATATCAAAAGAATATGAATTCCCTATGCATTCGAAAAATCCCTTTTAGACAAATGCGTTTCTCAGTGACCCTTAATATCATGAAATATTTTTGATTGCTAAAAGAAGGCTTAAAGTATAATGCTCAAAGCAACAGTTCCCAAAATGGTGTTCCATGAAACTTAGAGCAGCGGTTCCCAAATGCTGTTCCATGGAACCTAAAGTTTCCGTAGAAGGGTTAAAAAAGTTCCATGAGTTATAACTTTCTTTAAACAGTTTCTTTTTTAATATTTTTAAGCCTGTAATTATGTTTAGATCCCCTCAATAATACATCATTTACCGAATATTTTGGTTGCCGTTACGATATTATTTAAAGAAAAATGCTAGTAAAAAGAAATAGCGCATTTTTTAGGAAAAAATATAATTTTTCAAATAACAATGTACTGAATAAACTATGAAAAAGATACACACTTATAAAATATTGCATTAGTACTTCCCATTGCGCTTTTGAAACCAAAATGAAATAACTAGACTGTTAATGAAAAAATGTGTTTCCCTACTAGCCATTTTCAAAGTTTATTGCAGTTCTTTTTATTTTAACAAAAACCATGTTTTGACTTATTTCATTCATTTTCAGCTTTTGTTTACACAAAAAAAAAATTCAAAATAAGATTAGATTTAGCTCCCAGGACTGTGAATTCATCTGTCAGATGTAAAAAATAATTTAAGATTATTAATGATTTTATCATGAATGAAAAAACGCTGTATTTCTTTTTTAATATTTTCAAAATAAAACAATTTTTTGTAGGTCAATACATGCACACTTGTCTTTATATACTTCAGCTATAAAGTCTGGGTTCCGTTGAAAGAATGTCCATAATTTAGGGTTCCATAGTCTGAAAAATTGAAAACCTCTGACTTAATTGAATTTTTATATTAATTATTACTAATTAATTAATTATTATTAAGAAGAATTTCTTGATTAATGTAGAATTTTATGTAGAATTTCTTGATTAATGTAGAATTTTATGTAGAATTTCTTGAAGCCATGTTAAAAAGAATTGCTACAGTTGAAATGAAGTTACTTGAATTACCCATGCCTTAAAAAGTAAGCATATAAGATAAGTGTGGATAAATAAATCTCCAAAAGATTTGAAAGAACTTGCTAAAATAATGAATCCAAAAGAAAGTGATAATTACGAGGAAGTACTATCTAGCAATCACAGGATCAGTCCCAAACAAAACTTAAAACTCATCTCAATAAGGTTAGACAGTTACTGAAGACAATAATATTACAGTATGTACTTATTTGATAAGATCAGAAATATTTTTTAAAAAAAGGTTATAGCATCCATAAATGTATGAGAAGAGACAGATGGCAAAATGTTCCATCAAACAAAGAATCATATGGATATGGGCATTGATTGAAGTAATATAGGTAATACATCTTTTAAAATGTCTATTTTGACTTTTAATTCTTAAAAATATTTCATACAGTGACTACCACTAATAAAATCACTGGATTATAAAATCAGCTGATTTTTAAAATCAAATCTGTAAAAAAAAAAAATTCATTAGAATGTCAAAATATGCAAAAAAAACATCACTTTATGAAATGATTATCACAGATTTGTAAAATAAAATTTTGGTAGGGCATATGTTTAAAAGAAAAGAAAACCCTTAGTTTTTCGTCCCCAGTTAATTAGAATTTTTTATTTCTTCATGTTTTGAAAGCGTATAAATAACAAATTTTGTACTGTCGCTCTTTGATAAAAAATAAATAAAGGTTACAGGTGTAGATTACACTTCTTAGGGAAATTAAAGTAAAAAAATCAAATACTTGCAAGACAGGTATGATTTTAATAGGCTGTCGGCACTGTATTAAATTATAATATCCTCTTTAGAGTGTGATATGGAGATTTGAATGTATAGATTTATGGAAAGAAAAAATCCAAAGTGTAAGAGGAGAGAAATATTCCTTTCACAAAAGTTTACTTAAATCAGCTTATAGAGTTTAGCTGATTTATTTCTACCTGAGTTTTGTGGGTTAACGTACTCATCAGAAGATAATCCCAACAACTGAAGATATAATCTTAAACTAATATTTTTTACAACATAATTTTGAGCTAAATATAGGCTATTCAAGGAAGCTGATATCAACAAATACATCAAAATAAGTGGCTTAAAGCTTGCAGGTCACATTTGTCGAATGGACTCTTCTTCCTTGACATTTAAGATCTACAATTGCAAACCAATAGGAACTAAAGATAGAGGTAGGCCTAAGATCAAATGGCTCTTATCTTAATCTACTTAATCTTATCGTAAATCTTAAGAACTAATAACTGGAGAACAATCGCAAAGAAACAAGCAGAATGGAGGAAGGTTCTAGGGAAGGTTCTGGTCCACAAAGAGCTGTCATGCCAATAGAAGAAGAAGAATATTCTTTTAAAGTAAAAGAGATGAACCAAAAAAATAGTTTAAGAAAGACTCACTTCAATGTAGTCTCTAGCATGACCCCAATCCCTGAGTGAGTCCAAATTACCCAACTCAAAATAATCTTGCTGCTGTAAGAATATCTTAGCCACACTCCGAGTTATTTTTCTTGTCACAAACGTTTCCCCTGAAAACATGAAATGGAACATCATTATCACTATGTTCACAGGTATATTTCACATACATAGATATATATATATTTTAAAATATATATGTCATTTATTATGTATCATTAACCATAATGCATGCTTATAACAATAAACTAATGCATGTAGATTAATTGTGTCAACATTAGAGCAGTCAGAAATCTAATGGTTGGTAAAAGTTAGGTTGATACAATTAAAATTCAATTTTTAATTGTATAACCCTAAAATAAGCCTTTTCCTACAATAAATTTCTTAAAATTCTCATTTTAAATTTAGTAATTGAATGATTTGAATCGTTTCAAAGAAAAACTTAAATATCCTATGTATAAATTAATGTCTATATTTAAGTTAAGAAGCATGCATCATTAATAATGTATCTTAATATGTGACAATCTGATAATAAGATCAAAAATAGCTATAAGTTAAGCTTTAATTTATTTATTTTGCATGTTATACCAAATTTTCATTGTCTACTTTTTTTATCACAGAATAACATAATACATAAATTAACGCAAAATTATATGAAAAACTTTATGTAAATGTCATATTTTCGAAAATTTACTTTATTACAAATTTTTATTTTTTAAATGAAATAAAACATATCAAAATTAAATGAATTTTCAGAAAATACACATTTCTTATTCTAGATATTCATTAAATGAAATAACAACATAAAAAGAAATAGTTGAATACAAAAAAAAATTATGTTTTTCCATGCATTATTTATAAAACTCATAGTATTCATAAAAAAGTAGCTCAATATAATTTTAAGATTTATTTTCATTACAAAAATCTGGAGTCTGTTTCTAGTAAACCAAAATTAACAGGCAAAGCCTAAAATAAAAAAAATTTAGAAATACAATGGTTGAACTTCAAAAAAAAAGGTAACTTTCACTGGGCTTCATCTTTAGTCACCAATTTGTGATAGTTAAATAACAGTTTTTCTTAATTGCAAGCATGCATCAAAAAAAAATTTTTTTAAACGTGTCTTCTCAACATGCAATCTACTTAGAAAAATCAGAGAATTTGCCCACACCCATTTAAAAACAAAAACTCAAAGCTGGCAGCCTTTCATAAAAAATCAGTTTTAAAAAATATATATACAGATAAAAATTGAAAAAGATCAACTTTGAACTAAAAGTGAATGTGACTTATACCTCTTCTTGGGCTCTCATGATTGAATAGTATGCCGTTAACAGCAAACATATTATATGCTTCCCTGTAATTTACAACAATCCAGTAAGCATACAACTTAGCTACACCTGAAAATAAAATTGAAGACAAAAATTAACACTGATAAAAGCAATATGCAGATAAATACAGAAATCTACCACCATTAATGTTGCAAAAAAGCAGGGATTAGCGCTCAAAGGGGACAAACTTTAAATATATTATAAAAGTGCTGAGAATTTTTTGTGATATTGCATGAAATAAATATATTCAATAACTTTTTCTTTTTGATGGAACAAACCCGCATTTGCATTGCATGGAGAGGAAAACAACAAAAACCTCCCATGGTTAGCCTGGAGGCAAAGAGACTCTAACCTACAATCCACCTATCACTATAGGTTGTTTCACGTCAGCACTGTGGTCGTGCAAACTGTATACGGAATTCCTATCAACCAGCTATCGCTGAGATTCGAACACTCTATCCCCGGAGCCACCATTGCTCTAGCCTCTAGTATTGTCGGTATAAAATAAGTGTTGCATTGAAATATTTTAAGTAAGTGACGTAGTTATCCCAGGGGTGAGTCGGTAAGTAACGCGGTCCAGCCTTTATTTATTAATCGATCAGATCTCAAAGTAAATTTGCTATTTTAAGTTTATGTTGTGATATTAAGTGAGTTTCTATGATCATACATTTATCAGCATAACGTCTACCACTGAGTATATTTTGTGTCAGCATTGTGGTCAGTGGGAGCCTGGTGCGGAGGATCTCCTGAGTCACTACAGCTCTCTATTGTATATAGCAAAATATCCTTATGTTTTGACGACATATCATGATATCAAACTTTCACTGATGCTGAGGACTATTCAAAACTACACCTTTTTTGGTCTGGACAAAAATGGCGAAAAACAATAAATGCTTCATACCATAGGGTGATCTAGGGTAGAAAGGTGTTGTCTCTGTTTGAGGTACTTCTTGAACTTTGCCGTACATCTCACTGGTGGATGCCTGGTAGAACTTGACATCTTTTTCCAGTTTACAAGTACGAATTGCATCCAGCATTCGGAGAGTTCCTAATGCATCCACATTCGCTGTATACTCACTCAAGTCAAAAGATATCTGAAAAAAAATTTCCTTTGGTTAGATATACAGTGCAGTTGCAGTAAACAGGTATGAAAAAAAAAGTCTAAAACTACCTATCAAGTCAAATCATAAAATAAAAAAATTATAAGAAAAAGAAAATAAAAAAACCACATCTATTATTTACACACTTAAAGTTTTTTCGTTTTGTTTTCTGCGTGTGTACATTTACAGCAGCTATTTGTTAAGGCTTATATAAAAATTATGATGAAAGAGAATAAAATCATAATAAAATAAAACAAGAGAATAAAGTAAAACAAGAAAATAATGTAGAAATGAACAAAAATTAATTCAAAAACATGTGAAACTATTTTGCACAAGAAAAAAGAAAGGAAAAAAACAGATCTATTATTTACACACTTAAATTTTTTTTGTATCGTTTTCTAAAAGTGTACATTTACAGTCCAACGAATTGTTAAGGCTTACATATGAAAATTATGATGAAAAAGAATAAAATCATACTAAAGTAAAACAAGAAAATAATGTAGAAATATTAGGAATAAATAGACATTTAACAAAGCAATTTCTGGTATTATTTTCTATCATGAAAATTTCATTGCAATTTTTAGCGTTTCCATACAAATATTACGATCAACAATTTACAAATTACCCCTTTAGTCAAATTTTTTCTCCTAGATGAAAACCTAACAATGATTCATTTTATATTTTTATACACAATAAAGCACTTTTTTAAAAAATGAAGTGAATTATTTTTTATTCTGTCAAAACTGCTTTTAGTTTTTTGTGTTGGAAAACAGCCTTCCGGAGTGAAAAAGTTAAGTTGATTGATTACCTTATTCTTAACTTGAAAATTACACCCAAAGTCTAAAGAATATCACAGTTGATTAAATTTCTAAAATATTAATTTAGATATACTACTCCAGATCTAATATTTATAATTTCATTTAATGAAAAATCAGACACATGAAAAAGCTTAAAATCAATTTAATTAAAAAATTTGGCCGATTGTGGAGCTAGTCATAAATGAAGAATAAGAATTCTTACCTTAACGTGACTCTGGGCACCTAAATTATAGATTTCTGTAGGCATGACTTGACTAATTAGTTTAACTAAACAGGAACTGTCAGTTAGATCACCATAGTGCAAATGCATGGCTGGAAGATAAATATATGATGCTTATTTATTTTGAATAAAGGGCTTTAAAAATTCATTTAGTTAACACGGTTGACAAAAATCATGATTTTTAAAAAAATAGTAAAATAAAAAGTTTTTTTTTTCACAGCTCAAATAAAATATATTAGTAATACATAATACTATTAAAAAAATATTATGGTTAAAATATTAAATGTTATTAACTAAAATGGTTAAATTTATTATTTAAATACTATGAACTAATCAATGACTAAAATCACAATAATTTTATCAACCCTCGACACCCTTGAGAATTGTAATAAAATTTCATTGTGTATAAACATTAACTACATTAATTAAATTTCATTGTGTATAAACATTAACTACATATTTAATAAGTTTTAAAAGTAATTGTATTTAAATAAATTTCAAACTACAAGAATAAAATTTAAACATGTTTAGTAAAAGCAAATTATTTGACATACAAATAATGAATTATAATTTAAAAGTTATTGATAATTAGCTTCCTTACAAGTTTTAATCAAGTTTATACATCTAATACATAACTGTCATATAAGAAAAAATCCAGTAGATGTTACCAAATAATATAAATTTCATGATAACTGTTGCATAATGCACTAAAATTTTACACATAGGGAATTTTAGGGATTTATATAGTCATCAAAATAGAAAAACTGCAATATTTTCAAGTTATGATTGATATTAAAGATATGAAATGTGGAACAGTTAGAATAAAACCATCCATGGTTGAGTTGGGCCTTTTTCCAAGGGGAGTTGATTTGTAGTTTGATGCTGCTTTAATTGGGAGTTTTTCTTTCTTTCAATTTTTGCTTATTAAATAATGGTATAATAAATAACTTGGAAATTAATTTAATTATTTAAATTAAATCACAATTATAAACAGTTTAAAAAATTGCTTTATTTCATTTTGAAAATGAGCTTTCCACATTTTTTTCATTTGATTTCCAAAAACCCTCTTTTTTTTCTAAGTGGAATTTTGATATTTTTTCTTGGTTCTTTCAACTGTAGGAAAAACTTGTATCCTTGGTTTTAAAGTAATATAAATTAGTTTTTTATTAATCAAATTATAACATTTACTAATGCAGCAATTTTTAAATTGTTTTCATGGAAGATTTTACTTTTGATACCAGTTTTTAAATGGGTGCCACTTTTTAGCAAAAACTGAAGGTGACCAATGAGAAAATCTTTTAAAAAAATCCTGGAATTGGGTTTACTTGAAAAGAAAAACCTGAAGACATTTCCATGGGGCCCAAAATGGTGTGATTGTGTTACAATGCAAAATGGTTTAATTAACAAATGTTTCTATTCATTGAAAAGGGATTAATAGACAAGACTGAAGAGCATTAATTATAACACAACTACTAAAAATTACACTAAAAATACTATAAATAAATATCATTAAATAAGACTAAACATGCACTTATTTGATTAACAATTTACATAGTATATTTGGCATCTAAAATTTATATAATTTTCAGAAACTTCACTGTTTGCTTCACTTTTCTGAAAGAAATGTAAAACAGCATTAAACATATAAAAATACCAAAAAGAAAAGAAGTACTCACAGCCTTCTCTATGTGTCAAAGGATTTCCATATAAATGCTGAATGCGTCCAGTATTAAAAGAGCTTGATCTCCTAATAATCCCATGTACTTCATAACCTTTGTCGATTAAAAATTCTGCCAGATAAGAACCATCCTTAGGAGAAAAAAATCAAAACAATTGTGAACGCTTTTATTTTAAGGATTTTTATTCTCTAATAGTTCTCTGTAATAAACAATTCAATAGACTTAAAATTACAGCTGTTTAAAAATTTTAAAAAAAGTAAAAACTTTTGAATTTCTAAAGTATGAAAGCTATATAACTTGGAATATGGTGGTAACAAACACTCCTAAAAAATTCCAATTTTTCTCTCACTTTTGACAACTTTTTTCCAGATTGATTTTATCCCATTTCTCTGATTTTTGACATGACATGTATTATTGGTTTTTACATTTTTTTTAAAAAAAATGTTACAAGACTAATTTTTTTATGAAAAACAATGAACTACTAAGTACTTCAAACTCAAATTTGCTCATTTTCCCGGACTGGACTTAGAAATTGTAATTCAACTCCCTGATTTTTCAATCTCTGTTCTGTGGCCACCCTTAAGGAATAAATAGTGCAAAAATCTAAAACTTAATCATTAATAACGAAGACCTCAAATTAACCATTGATTGATTTGGTACGATATCACCTTCCATATATACATACAAACAAACTAAAAAAAAAATTGCACATTGAATCTTTTTATCTGAAACCTATATATGTTAAACAGATTGTCTTTAATTTTTTTTCCAAAGAAACGAACAAAAAAACATATTCAGAATCAAAATTAAACATAAGAAAATAAGACTAGCTCAGTTTTCTTTCCCTAATATTTTATCTTCATAACAGCCCATCTATTAAAACCCGTAATTCCAATTTAACAAAATGATCAAGATAAAAACTTTAGGCGATCATACCTGCCCTGTTATGCCTGTTATAAGAGCTACTTTTCGGGGTTTCGAAACATTATTTTTTATTGATTCCCCAGACATAGTGAAAATTTATAAAGACAATAATAAATAACACCTTTCAGATAACAAAACTAGAGCTGACGTTTGTTATGGTTACTCCACCGGCATTGCCAAATTTATGTTGCGAAAAATAATATATTGTTCTGAATTCATGCTTCTAGCTTTCTTTCTTTTTTTTTTTTCTTTTTTTTTTTA